GTTTTCGCGCCCTCCCCTTGCTTACCAAGGTTGCAAAAACGCTGCGGGGGGCATTTCGGGTCGTCCGCAGCCATTTTAATGGCCGCGGATGACCCGAAATGGCCCCCCGCAGCGTTTTCACGACCCCGGCGATTGGGGCGATTGGGGCAGATTGCGGCGATTGGGGCAGCTCCGTATAGCGATCCCCAAAAAGGGATCGCTATACGGATTCTTCGTTATACGGTGCGCTCGTTAAGCGAGGCACCACTGTATAAGGAATCTCACTGTTGTTTTTCTTTCCTTTGATTTTTACTTAAATGCTCTGCAAAAATTGCTATTTTCTGCCTGACATGGAACCTCAGTATAATGAAATCATAATTCTTAAAAAGGAAAAGATGGAAGGGGGGACAGGGAGAGGGAAATGAGTAGTGTATTTTTATTGCCTCTCTTTGCATCATTTGTAGCTCCTGAAGAAGGGGAATTTATACCTGAAATAAGTTGAGCAAATCATTTTATTAATAAACTGCTTTCTTACAACACCAGACCTAAGACTTCCTTTTCCTATATGTGTGGACCCTTCTTAATGGCAGTGCTGAAGAGATGTGGAGGAACAAAGAATGCTCTTTAACAAAGTGACCATTATCATAAAGGGTATTCCTAGCAGTCCATCTAATGAGGAAATTAGACATTAAGGGAAATACATATGCCCAACAATTAACTCATTTTCTCTTCTGCAGGATTTCCTGAGAGATATGTGCCTGGCAGTCAGACTTGCAAATTAAGCCTGTTAACCTTCACATGCATTAATCACAAAGCGAAGTACATTAGAATGCAAAATAGGGAGATAAAAAATAACATGCTATGTCAAATTGATGTTTTTTTTCCACTTCTTGAAGCAATTCTTCCAAAAGAAAAGTGCTAATCATAATGTTTAGTTTGAACTTAGTACTTTTAATAGCCTCCTGGGGTATTATTCACTCACAGCTTGTTGACATGTTAAGGAATGTAAGGTTGATATGGAACCTCAGTACTGTATAATGAAATCATAATTCACAAAAAGCTTTCTCAAGAGAAAGTCTCATTGTGTTTGAGGGATTTATTCATGAGTGCAAGCTTGTGGCATTTTGATATCTCTTTGATATTATTACCAGTCCCTTTTTGTGGTAGAACTAGTTGTTCCTACCTAAATTACATCTTATTTTGTCTGACCCAACCAAAGTTGACCAGTTCTTTCATCAACTACCTGTTTAAAACCTCTGTAAAGCTTCAATTAGGTTCTAAATGCAGAGTTTAGGTTTACATATTCAAGCCACAGGTTTCAAAAAGAAAGTGCCAAACCATGGCACATTCCATTTTTCTTGCAGCAGATGGCACTGTTAATTCCTGTAACAGGGAAAGCATCCATGAGTAAAATGTCTGCACTACAGTGCTGAAATTGCTGGTGAAGGATTAGTATAGAGCAATTGGATAGGTTTAAGTAGCTTCTCTTTGAGGGCAATTTGGTTCTGTCTGGTTAGGAATTCTTACCCTATCTATTTTCTAAGCCAGTGGATGTCTAAGTAATGGCTTGCAACTAGACATCCGGGACATAAATATAATAAATAAATAATACGAATGATGAAAATGTTATGGGTATCTTTAGGATATGTTTGTATATACAGTACTTGGATAAATAATCCAATATTTTAAACATGGTTGTCAGCCTCTTCAAAAAGGTACTCTAATAGTTAAAAGAGGTACAATACTGTTTTGTATCTTCTCTCTCTCTTTTGGCTCAGATTGTTGGATAGGCAGACAGACATGTAGATACGTAGGGTAGACTAAGGGTCAAAATTAGAAACACTTAATTGTTTCAAGAGGCTTAAGCATACCTAGCTTTTGTGCCAGCTGCTGCTATTATATGCATGCCTGAAAGATACTATTTTAAAAAAACTGCAGATGAATGGAATTCGTTCTTTAGACTCATGCGGAATTCTTTTTAAAGCAGGCTTTTTACAGTGCATAGTCCCCACTTTTTTGCTTAGGATGATTGCCTTTCTAACAAGAAAAAGCACATGATGAAGCTTTCTGAAAATGTATAGCTAGCTATCCAGTGCTACTTGAAAATCCAATACACTCAAAGGTCTTCATGTTTTATATCCTTGAACTGTATTGATCTGCAATGTGTGTTTGTTATTTCTATTTTAGGTAATGGGCCCCACCATGATCGCTGTAGTGTTTATAACCCAAGCAACTTGGTTGACGGAGTTTACTGCCTCCCAGTAGGACACTGGATTGAAGTTTCTGGGCATACCGACGAGATGAAACATACAACTGATTTCTATTTTAACATTGCTGGACATCAGGCTATTCACTACTCCAGGTAATCAACAAAAGAACAATGGAGGGAAATCAGGCATTACAGAGAGCAGAAAAGGAAGATGGTGGTTAAATGAGGATGTACAATATGATCCTAAACATGGTTATGCAGAAGTATTTCAAAATGAGTTGAGTAGGATTTACACTCTGTACGCTGCAACCCTAAGCATACCTATACTCATAACTGTTCTTAGGATTGTAGCCTTAGAGCCTTGCATCTGTAAGTGGTCGTTGCTGTGTAATATGCATGATATAGTAATTGGTGTCTCGAATTAAAAGTTGTACATTCCAGATTCCAATCCCTACTGAACCATTAAACTTACTGACTGACAGTAGGTCAGTCACTATCTCTCATGCTGCTCTGTCTCAGAGGACTGTTGAAATGATAGAGGAGAGGAGCAGAAGTATCAAACATCATCTTGATATTTTGGTGAAAAGACAGGATTTAAATATAAAAAGTAAATAAAATGAAGAAACCTTCATGATTACATGTTATGAAGATTTTAGAAACCTGCAGCATGTGCCCTAGTAATATTTCCAAAAGCATTGTCTGCAGCAGCAACAACTAAGAGTTTAAACATTATCTGTCAAGGAACATAATGCTGTATAGCTGCCACAAACATGTGCAGCAAGCTTGATTGCTTTGAAAGATGCTATGATCAGCTGGAAGACAAATGTCCCAGTGAGCTATCATAATTACCTGTTTTAAACTGGGGAAAAAATCTTTCTTCCTTTTTATGTATTGTATATTGTAAAGGCCTTTGGTCAGAAACAATAAAGTATTTTATAGCATTATCTAATAAAAAATGTGACGAGGCACATAACTTCCCCAGGTCAAATTTCTGATTGCTCTGGATGACCAGAAGACAGCTTGGCATGCTTTATGCACTTAGACAAATTTTCTGTTTTACTGATAAAACTGGGAAGATCAATGATTGGAACCTGCCAATATGAACATGTGCCAGTCCTTGTATAGTTTTAGAATGAAATGTGATACTCATTCTTAACACCAAGTGCAGTCTGCTTTATTTGAAATAGCAAGATATTGTCCTTTCTGCCCTTGAGAACTGAAATAGTTATTGCCTAGTAAACAAGATTCCCAGTAGCCATCCATAGCATCTTCAGATAGGTAGCAGATCTCCTCTTTTGACACAGCAATAGTAGCTCATGTTAGGTGTTGAACTGTGAAGAAAACAAACATGCAAGATAGAGAGACCAGATAAGGAATTCACTCTCTGGTAAAGATAAACCAAGCCAGAAGTTAGTAGCAGAGATAGAAACCAGTGATAGAGTCAGAAAGCTGGGCAGGTGGAAGTATAAGACTGGAAGACAGGTGCAGTGCCATGAGCCTGACACTTGCAGGTAAACTAAGTTTACTGTAGTTATAAAAACAAACAAAGCTGCACTGCTTTCACACTGCAGGTACAGCTTACTTCCTCCTGACCCTTACATAGCCAAGACTGTCCAACATCCAGCAAATTGAATGGAGGTATGGGAACATAAAATGCGAAAGCTGCTCCTTAAATCTTATTTTTTTTCCTTCTGAAATTTGTCTGAGTTGCCATTGACCTCTAAAGAAATTATACAGCAGAGAGAGTGCTATACCACTGTTTTTATTTGTAATTGTTTGTAAATATAAGATCTCTGTAAAGCAGGTTCTCTAGATTGTTGCATGAGACTGTATGATACATGTATGTGCATTGGTAAATTTCACTAGAAGGCAGTGAAGATTTGCCAACTTCTTCAAGGAACCAATCAAGAAGGTGGCAGACAAAAACAGACTGTAAATTCAAATTAAGATGCTGTGTAATAATGACTTTTTGTAATAATCTTGGTTTTCACTTCAGAAAAGAAATGTTAAATGAAAATATACCTCTCCATATTTCTTCTCTTCTTACATCCTTGATATAGACATAGAAAATATATTTTGCTGGATTAGAGTTCTGCAATACACTAGTGGTACTTGCTGTGATATTCTGGGAGCTTTAGTAAAAGAAACCCAACCATCTCCAGCCTTGATCTGGATCTGGCCATGCAGAACAACTGATCATTCATTCCCATCTGTTTTAAGAGGGACATACAGCTATGGGGTCTGGATGGGCACTGCGGTTAGGATGTGTATTACACATTATGTACATGTGTGCAACTTCTGGCTTTTTGCTCAAAGTTTTCCTTTGCTAAATCAGGGTTTTTGTGTTTTTTTCAGTATACTTCATCAGGTAAAGCATTTAAATATTGAAGTTATAAATTGTTTATTAAATGACAACTTGTGGGTCAAATTCAATCTTTGGAAAAATATTTACTGATCTATCAGATCCTAGTTCCTACAGCCAAGGACACTGAACTCCCATGAACTGAGGACAGCAACATTGCCAGGTTAATTTGCTTCAGACAACCACACATAATTCAGCAAAAAGAGAAAATCAGCCTTGTTTGCAGCTTGTTAAGCATTTGAATCTTTTCTTCCCCATACTTGTTTCCTTCTTCCATACCCTTTCTATTCTCTTTCTCTTTCTTTTTCTTTTAAAGGCTTGCTGTCCCAGTGCTAGCATAGTGTGGAAGTAGTAAGGAATCATCAGAGATACAGAAGGAAGTTTTTGCTTCAACCTTGTTTACAATTTGTTAAGAAAAAAGAGAGCAAAGACTTGGCAGATGGGGGGGAGTTTTAAGGTAGTTCAGCTTTGACCATCTATATTTGTATGAGGTATGGTCAGAGTAGAGCCATCTTAAAATTTCTTCCTCTCTCTCTTCCCTAGATCTTCATTCTTTGGTAACCTAGTTGGCCTAGTACTAAACTGAGAAGCCTTTAAAACAGGACATTAGTTAGTTAGTTAGTTAGTTAGTTAGTTAGTTAGTTAGTTAGTTAGTTAGTTAGTTAGTTTTGAATTTCTGGCAAAATTCTCTTTTTGCTACATAGTTGGAAGTACAGAGGTCCACAGAGGAGAAAAGCTACAACGTTCCATAAAGTCCATCTCTTTCTCATTAACTGGCACTTAAAGTCTCTATAATTTATTCTGAGACATTTGTAGGATAATAGTTGCTTGAAATTATAAATTTTGTATATTGTTTTCTTTACTGCACAAATACTAGCAACCAACCAACTGATCAACTGCAACAAACAACTGCTACCAACCGACAAAGGAATTCAAAAGCTGGAAGGAATGATTGGTTAGTGCTGGATAGATAATCACCCCAGCCCAGAAAATCCCCTCCTAGTCACTCAAACTACAGACAGGATGCAAGGTTGTAAGTACAATTCCATCAGGAAGGAATGGAGTGGAATGGGAATATTAAAGCAGACCTAAACACCAAAAATGGGAAGGACAGTATTCAAATTGCAGCCAGTTTTCCCACTGTCCTTCCTCTTTCACTGCTGCTGTAGCTGGCTGAGATGGGTTAAAATGGAACACAAACTCTTCTGAATCAAGTGATCACACAATCTGAATCAATGTGCAAGTGTGTGATTCAAAAAAAAATGGCATTCGAAAAAAAGTAGAAGACCCAGAGGTGGAGGGAAAAAAGGGCAAATTAGAGAGAGGAAATCCCAGACTTATTTGTATCAACTTCTACATCATGTAGTCAATGGAAAAGTAATGCAAATCAGACCATCTCAATCCTGGAGTATTTCCCATATTATTTGTCTGTGTAGCCTCATCCTATGTGTTGCACTGCAGCATCTCAAATACAGCACTTTAAGAAGGATGCTAAAGCTAAATGCCGTCTTGAAATTTGATTTAAGTAGTTGTCAACATTGCTTCATTATTATTCAAAGAGTCTCATCTTCAGAATAGGTTGGGCTTTGTCCCCAGCCTGCTGGTTAGGTATGGCTAGCCATATTTTTCGTATGGAGAACAATCAGATCCCTAAGGCAGCAATCAGTTGACCCTCACAGCACCAAATGAGTAGGATGCCCTCGCATAACATGGTGAAGAACACTGACACGAGACCTGGAGGAACTACATATTACATGGGAGGATGTCACAACACCTGCACAGGATGGAATGAGCTGGAGAATCCTTGCTGCCTGATATGCTACACAGCATGGAGGTGGATCATCATTTCCCCCTTTAAATTACTGTTTAAAAGGCAGATATACAGTCCTGCCCCACTTTACGATTACCCCGTTTAATGATGAATCCACTTGATAGTGAGGTTTTTGCGATGGGTTTTTTCGTTTACCGATGGGGTTTTTTCGTTTACCGATGATCGGTTCCCTGCTTCGGGAACTGATTCTCGCTTTACGACGATCAAAACAGCTGATTGTCGGGTTTCAAAATGGCTGCTAGCTGAAGAAAATTGCCCCCCGCTGTGCTTAGGGACGGATTCCTTGCTGCACAGGCATGGAAAATGGCCGCCCCTATGGAGGATCTTTGCTGGACGGTGTATTTTCAGCCCATTGGAACACATTGAAAGGTTTTCAATGCATTTCAATAGGTTTTTTTAATTTCGCTTTATGACGTTTTCACTCTACAGCGATTTCTCTGGAATGAATTAACGTCGTTAAGCGAGGCACTACTGTATATATTGGAATATATTGGAACCACAAAATGAAGCATCCACACCAGAATCAAAGAACATGAGAGACACTGCAGACTAAAACAACCAGAAAAATCTGCAGTAGCTGAACATGCCCTAAAACAAACTGGACATGAAATTCTATTTCAAAATACCGAAATACTGGACAACACCAGTAATCATTACATCAGACTGCACAGGGAAGCCATTGAAATCCACAAGCACCAGCAGAACTTCAACAAAAAAGAGGAAAGTTTGAAACTCAACAAAACTTGACTCCCAGCTAATGACACCCATCAACCACAGTGACAGATAATCTCTCCTTCTTAGCACAACAGTACACCCACAACAAGACACACTAATCACCCATCTACAGAAAAAGACAAAAGCCCATCTCACAGACATAAATACTCCACTCCCAAGCCAACTACACCAGAGCACAGAGTGCTGTCCTCTGAAGATGCCAGCCACAGAGACTGGCAAAACGTT